CGGAGCGGACGTGTTGGTGATAAGGTGGTGCTGCCTCCACAGCTACGCGCCGTGGTGTCCTGCCTGCCAGAACTTACAGCCCGAGTGGGAGAAGTTTGCGGAGTGGGGAGAGGACCTGGAGGTGAACATTGCGAAGGTGGATGTGACGGAGCAGCCGGGTGAGAGGGGCTGGGGGGCACGGGGGGAGCTCTCGGTGAGGTGTCAGGGGGTGTTTGGGACAAGTGTGTGTGCCTAGAACAGAATTAATAGGGATAATAATAGCATTCAACTTGTCTCGACCAAAAGTAGGTTGCTGTGGGGCTAAACACTCGAATCTCACAGTGGTTTGCGTTGGAAGGACCGTAAATCCCATCTAGTTTCAATCCCCTGCCGTGGGCAGGGACACATTCCATTGGACCGGGTTGTTCCAAGCCAAATCCAGCCTGGAATTGAAGGCTCCCAGGGATGGAGCAGCCACAGCTTCTTTGGGTAAGCTGTGCCAGTGCCTCAGCACCCTCACAGCCTGGAAACTGTCAGAAAATAGAACAAATAGATAGAATAAATACAATAGGTAAAAGATAACCTCCAATTCCCTTTACGTATTTTCTCCAGACATGATTTGGAGGATTTCCAGCAGAGGTTTGACCATAATTTTAAGCACAAATATGTTTTCAGCCTTGCCTGTAGCATTCCCTGTCTTGGCTGGCAGAAGGGAGCTCAGTCTGGTCTCCCTCTGACACTCCATAATGGTGTGGGAGCTGTAAATATGACTCTTCCCATGCTGTTCCTTTTCCCCGAAGTCACTTCACTTTTGAAAGTTGCCTCACTTGGTTTATTTCCTTCAAGGTTTCTGCAGGTTGCAGGTCATATGGGGAAAGGAGAGGATCTCTCTCTGAAGAGCCACAGCCAAAATAGTCCAATAGAGCAGTTGTCCCTAGACATCTCTTTTTCCCTATGGAAAAACTTTGTTGCTCTTTGTTCAGGGACGTTTCTTTAGTGTTGTTTTGTGTCGGTTGTGTTTGATTGCAATTCAGGATTGACACTTGGTGGTGCCACTGCCTTTATTTTGGTGTGTAATAACATTTCCTGCCTTTTCTTACTCAATTCCTCAAATAACTCTTTTCTTCCAGGACTAAGTGGACGATTTATAATCACAGCTCTTCCCACCATCTATCAGTAAGTATTTGGGAGGAAAGAAAACTTTTTTCCCCCCTATATTTGGGACAAAAAAAATGAGATTTATTATGCTCTTTAAGTTCCTTTACCCAGAACTCCTCTCACTCTCTGTGACCTTACACCACTGCCAGGTGATTTCTTTTCCTTTCCCCTCAGGCCTTACTTATTCTGCCTTTTCATGGGTGTTTCTGTTTTGCAATCACTTCTCTGTAGGTTGATCTGTGTGGCAAGTGCTTTAGGAAGATCATTATCTTTTTTTTTTCATGGAGTCACAGCCTAGAGCTAGCCAGGATTTTCATGGAAGCAATATTCTGAGAATAATTTGTCAAGGTGTTTGGAAACTGTTTTAGAGCAAAAAAAATGAAATCCCTAATTAAGGAAATAAATACATATAAAACTAGGCAAGGTGATGGGGGGAAGATGTTGAGTGGAAACAATTGCTTGGACTATATAAAATAGAGGATTTTATTGTTATTTTTGTTTGATAGTTGTAAAGATGGAGAGTTCAGGAGATACCAAGGTGCAAGGACTAAAACTGATTTCATCAATTTCATCAGTGACCAGGAGTGGAAATCCATTGAACCTGTTTCCTCATGGTTTGGTCCTTCCTCTTTCCTGTAAGTTCTGGGTTATTTTTGTACCAATGTGTTGTCAGAGGCTCTGAGTCAGGCCCTGAGATGTGGCACAGCTGCTGCTGCCTCCCTGCTAGCAGCTCTGGGCTGGTATGTGAATGTGATGGGTGGGTGTCACACCTCTTCCTCTACTCAGGGAGGGTTGTCATCATGGCAGAGGTGACACAGCATTGTCATCATGGCAGAGATGTCTCCAGCGTTATCACCATGGCAGAGGTGACCTGAGCATTGTCATCATGGCAGAGATGTCCTCAGTGTTGTCATCATAGCACAGATGTCCTTTGCATTGTCAACATAGCAGAGATGTCCTCAGAATTGTCACCATAGCAGAGGGGACCTGAGCATTGTCATCATGGCAGAGATGTCCTCAGTGTTGTCATCATAGCACAGATGTTCTCTGCATTGTCATCATGGCAGAGATGTCCTCAGCGTTGTCACCATGGCAGAGGTGACCTGAGCAAGGTTAAAGTAGCTGTAGGTGACTCTGTTGTTTACTAAACTCTTGCAGGTGACTTGCTGACACTTCAAGTTGTTTTTCTGTTTATATCTCAGCGAGGTGTTTTGCCCAACCAAATTCTAGGAATGAACTTTCCTTCCATTATCTGAAGGGGCTACAAGGAAGCTGTGGCTGCTCCATCCCTGGGAGTGTTCCAGGCCAGGTTGGATGGGGCTTGGAGCAACCTGGGCCAGTGGAAGGTGTTCTGCCCATGGCAGGGGGTGGGATGAGATGATCTTTCAGGTCCCTTCCAACCCAAATAATTGTGGAATTCCAAATGAGCAACAAAGAGTGCAAAATAATGTGGCAACATAGCTGTAAATACGGGTGGGTTGTTTCAGGTAACATGTCTGTAGCCAAGTTAAAAGCAGAGTGAAAGGTTGAAGGTTTCTTTGTTGAAGGAAAAGTGAAGTGTGAGAGCTCTGCAGTCTGGGAAGAAACTCTTGTCTTTGGAATTCTCTGTAGTTTTGTGGCTTTGAGGTGCTTTTAGTTGTTGCTGTGTGGTTGTTTCAGAGCAGTTGAGACACCGAGTGACAAAACACATTGGAGAAACCATTACTTGAGGCAAATAAACCCAACTGTCCACAGTTTTTCTTCTGTTCATATTCAGTTTAGGAAGTGTCTGAACATTGACTTTTTAGTGCCCCTTTAGGAGGCTTAGCAGTGTCACTTTGTGTGCTCACATTGTCCCACTCCAAGGAACGTGTGAAACGGGAATGAATTTAGAATTAGTAATTTTTCTCTTATTTTCTATATTCAGGCACTAAACTTAAGTGTCTGAAGGTCCCTCATTACTTCTATAACCTGTTTTTTTTTTTTAACAGCTTGATTTTTTTGTTTTAATAAAATGTCCTGATGTTTCACTGTTAATGCCTTGAACAGTTCCAGCTTCTCTGTTGGTCCAGTTATAATTTAGAACATAAAAGGAAGCAGGTCCAGGTGGAGGAAGTTTGTAAATTTGTAGCTGTCCATGCATGGAATATTTTACAAGCTCATCCCAAAAATGCAGGGGAAAGGAGTGTGTATTGAAGTAAAGACGAAATAGAAGATAAAAATCAAAGTAGTTAGAAGAGAAACAGGAGCAAGGAGTTGTTTGAATGGAGTTAAATCCTGACCAGTCAGGGAAATAAGAATATTCAGGTTTGAGAGTGGCTGAAAGGTATTTCCAGGTGTTTTCTCTGCTCTGTTCCAGGATGAGCAGCATGTCAGCTTTGTTCCAGTTGTCCATGTGGATCAGGGTATGTGCTTCCATCCTTATTTTATTTTAACAGACATGACACTGAGCTGTACCTGAAGTGATTCTCTTTTATTCCAGCATGGCCATGGATATTTAACAGAAAATCTTGGAATACCAGTCTGGGGCTCCTATGCTATTTTTGGCTTGGCAACTCTGTTCTCAGGACTGATATTGGGACTTGTAAGTGAAGCTCTGGGGACAGATTGACTTGAGGCTGCTGAGGGTGACACTATGCAGGCTTTAATGGCAAGACCAGTTGGTTTTGGGGTACCCTGAGCTGGAAAAGAGGGATGGAGAGCAGGATAAAGCTCCCATAATCCAAGGGGAAGTGGTCAACATCACTGAGGCACACACAGGTGTGGGCCTGAATGGGATCCACTCCAGGGCAGTGTTAGGTAAATGGTTGGATTTGACCTTAAAAGTCTTTTCCAGGTTAAATGATTCCATGTGCAGAGTGTTTGGAGGCTTCAGCTCTGGTTCCTTTGCTTGCAGATGATGGTGTTCCTGGCAGACTGCCTCTGCCCCTCCAAAAGGCACAGACCCTCGCAGTACCCTCAGTCAAGTAAGCTCACAGTGCTCAGTTACTCTGTGGTAAAGCTTGTGTAACAAACACTGATGTGTAACTTGTGTGTGCAGCACCTGAGATTTCATGGAGGAGGAAAATCCTTATGGGTGTGGAGAGATAAATTGTTTTTTGGAGCATTTTCATACCTGCAAGATAGGAAAATCCTTATGGGTGTGGAGAGATAAATTGTTTTTTGGAGCATTTTCATACCTGCAAGATAGGAAAATCCTTATGGGAGAGATGAGATAAATTGTTTTTTGGAGCATTTTCATACCTGCAAGATAGGAAAATCCTTATGGGTGTGGAGAGAGGAGGTTTGAGTGGAGTTTAGTGTTGTTGTGCTTGTCCATGATTCTAATCATACATGTTGATGGTATTTGTGTATCCTTGTTTGCCTTTCTCCTTAAGGAAAACTAGCTCCAGAGTCAGCTCAGCTGCTGAAAAAGCTGGATGAAGAACAAGAAGCAGATGAAGAAGATGTCTCAGATGATGAAACAGAGGGGAAAGAGGTGTCCAACAGAGACTCATCTCCAAGTGCTGTAAGGCAGCGCCCAGTGAACGCTGCTGCCACGCTGGATAAATCCTAGCTGGATTTGCATACAGGATTAGTATCTGAGTCATTAATTCACAGGGAGAGAAATGTCAAATCCTTCAGCTGAAAGAGGAAAATGACTTCTGGCATGGTAATGTTGATGCATTTTATGAATTGAGGAGGAAAAAAAAAAAGCATCTTTGGAATCAGGTATTCAAAACTCAGCTTCTCGTGTGTGTGTGCAGGGAAGTGCCAAGAAAGAATCACTGTGGCTTCTGGAATGACTTGTTCTCTAGAGATTCTTTGGAACAGAATGTAAACCAGTGTACTTACTGCATTTTAGGGAGCATTAGCAAGGAAAATGCACTAACCTGTTTGCTGGTAAAGCATTCCAAAAGGATTCTCAGTCTAAATCTTGTTGTGCTCTGAAGATATGCTGAGGGGAAAAGTTCCTTCAGTGATGGGACATATTCCAGGCTTTTTAGGTGACAAAAACTGCTTCCTGCTAGGACAATAAGCACTGCAACCCCCCAGTCTTTCCTACAAAGCCATCATGAAACTTCCCCCAAGCACTCTGCAAGGATTCTCTGCCTGCCCAGAAGCCTGCTCTTTGCATCCATGTCTTCTAGAAAAGGCTGTAAAAACCTCTATGAGCTTCTTGGCAAAGTAGTTCTTCTCTAGAAACAAAATTGCAAGTGGCACCATGAAGTCTTGTTTGTCTCAGTGACTCCAGGTGGGAATAGTTTACACACAGAGTTCTCCATGCAGATCCTCTTCATGATTCCTACTGGATGGCAGGACTCTGCTGCTTTTTAATCCATCATGAGTGATTTCTGCTTCATCAAATTCCACTGCAAATCCAGGCAGGCTGTATGTGGCCTGGAGCTGGAATAACTGCTTCCTAGTTTCTTTTACAGAAAGATTTCCCTTCTCACTCCTGTTTTGGAAAAATATATCCTCATTTTTTTTCATTTAAAGAGATGTAGTTTACAGTTTCTGTATGGGATTTCTTTTCACTGCATAGAAATAAAAGTGCACATTCCCAATTGCATCAGCATTACCTTGTGACAAGTTTTCCATGCTTGTAGTTAATTTCTGAAACATTTGAAGGGAAAGTCTCTCACAGATGCATTTGAAGTCTGTTTGATAAATCCACTCATTTTCCATCTAAATCTCTCTAGCTGAAGATCTCAGTGAATCTTCCAAACTGAGAGGAGTAAGAAGGAATTGTGTAAGATGTCTTGGATCTTCCTCCTTTGGCTTTTCCCCCTCTTTTCTCCCCATTCTGGACATTGGTGCTCTGGACTGACTTGACTTCAGTGCTGGGCGATGTGTTAGGAACATAGAACTCATGTTTGCAATTCATTTTGCCTAAAATCAGAGTATTCCTGTCCCTTTTATACAGATCAAACTTTTCCTGGTATTGGAATATGTGCCAGAAATGCCCTGAAGGTGTTGATCATGTGGGTTTGCCTTAAATTTTCTACAAGTTTAGCTCTTGGCCTTTGTCAGTGGTGATTAAAGCAATAAATCCATGATGAACTAAGGAGAATGAGTAGCACTGCTGTGATAAATAGTGTTTGGAGAGGGCTTGGGAAGACAGGACATGGGAATGCTGTGGCTATACCTGGGGAAAAGGCATGAATTGTAAATGCTCTGTGCACACTCCACTTGGAATATAGTTCAGTATAGCTGTAATGAACTCCAAGTTGTCCCATTTTCAGTTGCATTAAAACCTTGTGCAATAGAGATCTAAATCCTGATCACCTTTGGCTAACTTAATTTCCTAGGGAAAAAACCCCTTTGATTTTTTCCATGCTGCTCTTGTCTCCTGCTTGGACAAGAACTTGTAGCACTGATTTACCTCTTGCCTTTGCTGCTCACCTCCCTTTCCTCCTGCTGCCTCGGGCAAGCACCACATTCCCAACCTGCCTCTTGGGGTGAGTGTTCCCAGCTGCTGGAATCCAGCCTCTGTGTGTAACTTCAAGCCCTCTTGCATTATCCATGTGCTTGCTGAGCTCTGGAATTCTTACCCTTCGTATTTTGCATAACATTGAGGTTCTGTCCTGTGAATATTTAAGTTTCTTGATATTTCCTTACTTAAAATCTCAATTCCAAAGATGTCTGAGTGGAGGTTGTGATGTGACAGGAGTATGTGGCTTGATGATGCTTGAATATCCCTTTTGTAAAAGTCAGACTGCCCTTTCCATATCATCTAAGTTTCATTCCAGAAGGAATTCATTCCCCGTAACTTCTTTTTTTAATGCTTCACAGAATCTTCAAGTAAAAAAATAACCACCAGCTTTGGATTCCTGTTGTTTGTGTCTTTCTTTTAACACACTACCTTGTTTAGAAATGAGACAGCTATTTCCATGGGAAAAAAATTGAACAGCAGCTAAAAATTGGGGTAAGATTTTTGGAAAGACAAGTTGGAGTAATGGTTGAAACTAAAGCTGCTTTGAGGTACTTGTGGGGTAAGTGGAGACTGGTTTGGGCACCTCATGATGGTTGGATGGTTCAAGTGGTTTGGGAAGGAGGTTTCACTCATGCCAGTCTTGGCCAGCAATGGAAGTAAGATGTGTTGGGAAAAAACTGGGGGATGAAAGTGGAAAACGGTGGTTGAAATTGAGCTCTTTGTGTCCTGCAGTTGCGTCAAGTGTGTGCAAACGGTGTTTGAGCAGCACAGACACCTCTCCCACCTCCACTGGGAAGCCAACCCCAACAGCTCAGGGGATCAACACCCTGAATTAATCTTGGAGTGGGAGCTTAATTCAGAATTGTGGGAACTCTGGAATGAGGAGGAAGTAAATCCAGGCAAGGAGTGCTCAGAGCACTGCTGAGTAAGAGTGGGCACAGTGCCAGCAGGGAGGTGTCTGGCCTCTTCCCTCTGCTCTCAGGAGTGAGAATGTGGTAGCTGTGCTGTGTCAGTTCTCAGCCTGGATGCATGGAATTTTCTGGGAAACTGCAATAGTACTCATAGTTCCTCCCCATCAGGAGTAAGGAATAGATACTGCCTGGGGAATTAAGTGGATGCTCATTCGGCCTCACTTCCCTCCTCTTCCACTCAATAGATTGCATAGAACAGAGACTAACAGCCACTCCAAAGGGAAAAACCAAGGAAAAAATCAACCTGAAGTACATTTAGGTATTGAAATGGGACTAGTCTGATGAGAAACAAGCAAACAACTGTGCAGGTGGCAGGTGGTGTTTGCCAGATTGCCAAAGTTAGCTGCAGCTTTGGGTTTGAAGCCGGTGGTTTCAGTTGGGAGGATTGCTGGGGAAAGAGGAATGTCACTGGGCCTCCAGCACTGCTTCAGTGCATAGAAACACCAAAGCACAATCTGTTTCAAGGTTTCTTTGCTTTAGGAAGAGAAAATTGCATCTCTTGCAGGTGTGAACATGGGGGGGTGGGGCGGATGGGGAAGCCATGGGTGAAATCTTCTGTGTGTCTCAAAGGTTTTTATAAGTTAAATTCTGCTTCTTGCCAAGGAGCTATAAAGGCACAAAATGAGAAAACTTTCATGCAGGTCATAATTAAAGATAGTATTTCTCTTAGCTGTGCTTTTCCTTCCAGAGACTTTTGTTATGCTGAGCCTGGAACTCAATGTCCCTTTTTCTCCTCCCTTGTGTGACTGCTGATTGCTCAGGAAGATTCTGTCTCTGAATCATCCTTTAAATTCCTTGGGAGTGGGATGTGTCAAGCTCAATTGAAGGGAAAGGTGTGTTCAAAGCAAATATATGATGCCATTTCCATAGGTCAAGTTCCCTGACTGTGTCTCTTCCCTATCATATTCCAATCCCTGTGGTAATGGGGGAGAGCCTGGAGCCACCAGCAAGGCTGGGCAGGAAGAAATGGGCATGATACCATGGATGTAAAAGGGATGCAGGTCCTGTTTGGCTCTTGAGGGCATATGATACTGAATGATTGGAGAAGTAAATTTAGTAGCAGTAGATTTAGATGGGATTTGGGAAGGAATTCCTGGCTGTGAGGTTGGTGAGGGACTGGCAGAGGTTGCCCAGAGAAGCTGTGGCTGCTCCATCCCTGGGAATGTTCCAGACCAGGTTGGATGGGGCTTGGAGCAACCTGGGCTGGTGGAAGGTGTCCCTGCCCATAGCAGGGGGTGGAACTGGATGAGCTTTAAGGTCCTTCCAACCCAAACCATTCTGGGATTCAACGGTAAGTGATTCCCCAAGGGTAAATAACCATTTCCTCCTCTTCTCTTCATCCTCTTGTGAAACATTTGGGAAGTATCTGAAGTGCCTTATACATAACTTCTTTTATATAGTTATTTATTTCACCAGGAGTTTGTAAC